TCTGGGAAAACTTGGATCCACATTGGAAAATTGGCTGTGAATATGGTATGCTCAACATCATTATGTGTTCTAAATTAGCAGAGTGTTAATAGGATTTTCAGTTCTTTTAGCCAAGTAGTTAAAAATATTGAGGATCTTGAAGAGTAATGGAGGAATAAGCAATCTCAAGGTAGTTCCAGAAATCCTCTCAAAATTATTATAACCTTCATTGTTTATAGGCTTAATGAAAACATTAAGTAAGGGTTATGTAGCCATTTGCATTTAGAGGAAATGCTTTTTAATTTATATTTTGATTTGCAGAGAAAGGCTTCCATCTGCATTAACTTCACTGGTCCTTAAATAACTTGTGTATATTTGTTGGTATGTTATGTAACTTGTCACAACATTAGTCACCACTTCTTCCATAAGGCAACATGTAAACGATCATGGATAAGCATGACTATAACTTATAATTATAGACCAATTTGTTCATAGCATTTTAGTCAGCTTTTTTCTTTTCTTTCTTTCTTTCTTTTTTTTTTGAGAGACTGTTATAATCTTTGTCTCCTTGTAATAGAATTCTGCCAGCTATTTGAACTGAGTAAGTACCTTTGGCTTATTATTTATTACTCAATACTGTGAGACAGTAACAATGGAGATCAGTAGAAGAAAGAAGTGGGCTTTATTATTTCTAAAAATGCCTTTTTTCTTTGAAATATATCTTTTATTGCAAAGCACCGTTGCAATGATAGATTGTTGAGGTATACCTATATTTTATGTTATATGTACTAACTTATTTGGAAGAATTCCATTTATCAAGATCTGTGGTTCTTGAAGTATGCTTGCCAGTCCAACAGCTTCAGGATGAGCTGGGTAGTTGCAGAAATGCTCATTTTTGGTTCCTACTTCAGAAACTCTGGAGGCAGGGACAGAAATCTATCTTCCTTCTACTCGGTATTTATTTGTTTATTATAGTATTAGGGATTGAACCCAGGGGTACTTTGCCCACAGAGCTACATCCCTAGCCCTTTTTATTTTTTATTTTGAGACAGTGCCTCTCTAAATTGTTGAGACTGACCTTGAACTTGCAATCTTCTTGCCTCAGACTCCTGAGTAACTGGGATTATGGGTGCATGCCACTGCACCTGCCTCCAATATTTGTTTGGGCAGCTACCAGGAAAACACTACTTGGCCTGAAAGATAAGATCCAGGCTCTTCAACTGCTTACATTTAGAAGAGGAAGACTGACCATAACCAAGGTTGGGATAGATATAATAGGGAGAATTAAAATTAGGTGAAAATATGATAGAGAAGCCTTTCTGAGAAGGGCAAGTGTAAGCTGAGTTTTGAATGATGGGAAAGGACTGCTTAAGTTGAGATCAGTGTAAAGTTTTGGCTATAAGGTAGGAATGAATGTGGTTTGTTTGAGGAACAGAAAGAAGTCTAGTGTGGTTGGAGTTCTTTGGGTAAGGGGAGAGAGGTCTGGAATAACATTGGACAGGTTTGCAGAGGCTAAATCTTGCAGGTCCTATAAGGACTTTTTTTTCCCTCCCACATTTTTTTAATATTTATTTTTCAATTGTAGTTGGACACAATACCTTTATTTTGCTTATTTATTTTTATGTGGTGCTGAGGATTGAACCCAGGGCCTCCCACATGCTAGGCGAGCGCCCTACCACTGAGCCACAACCCCAGCCCCTTCCCACATTTATTTTTATTGTGGTAATATACAAATAATGAGAATTTCTGTCTCACCATTTTAAGTGCATAGTTCAATGGTATTAAGTACATTCATATTGTTGTATGACCATCACCACTATCCATCTCTAGAACTAGAAGTTTGACTTCACGCTGAGCGTATGGGAAGCTTTGGGGAAGTTTTGAGCAGATGGTTGACATAACCTGAAATTTAAAATAAAAGGATTACTGGCTGCTAAGTTGAGGTATAAATCTAAGGGAAAGGGTGCAAGGAGGGAGACCAGGCGGAATACTGTAGTTTTCAGGTGAGATGGTAGTAATCTGTTATTCTGAAGGTAGAATTAACAGAATTTGCCACTTGGTTTGTTGATTCTGGAATATATAGCAAAGAGAGGAGTCTAAGACAATATTGTTTTGTTGATTTCAGTAACTGGTAGACTTCAGGAGATGCAGATTTGAGGAAGAAAAGTTTTATCTATTAAATTAGAAATGCTTCTTAGATGTCAGGAAGGGGATGTTGAATAGGCTAAGGAAATATGGAGTCGGAGAGGAAGTCAGGTTGGAGAAGTGACTTTGGGGCTTTTCAGCATATGATAGTAATTGTAGTCATGAGACTGAATGGGATAATCAGAGTAATAGTGTAGACAGAGTCCTTGATCAAGTTCCAGAGCAGCAAGCTCACATGTTTGAGAATTAGCAAAGTAGCAGCTGGTGAGGAAGGAAGAGTACTAGCAGAGTGAAGTCTTGGAAGGAAGGGGAAGAAAGTGTTTTAAGGAGCAGGACCAGTTGATCAACTGTGTCAGAACAGCTGAGAAGCTAAGACAAGCACTGAGATTTGTGCTTTTTAGCATGTTTTAGCCATGTGACAAGTTGTTTCATTGGTGTGGTGGATTCAGAAGCCTGATTGAAATGCGTTACAGAGAGAAAGGGAGAAGCATTTTCCACATAAGTCTCTCTACAAAACAAAACACCTTGTGACACAGGTTAATGTGTTGCTGCCCCAGTTTGGTAAAATTTGGAACGTAACACCTTCATGTGCTTTTATTCATTATTTTCATTTAAAAAATGGAAGTCTAGATAAAAACCGTGGGGACAGTCTGAAGACCCTCCATGGAATACTAGGATCCCATGGAATACATCTAAAAAACTGCTTGCTTTCTTCTTTTTTAAACTGGAGATTGAACCCAGGAGCGCTTAACCACTGAGTCACATCCCCTACCTTTTAAAAAAATTTTTATTTTGAGACAGAGAGACAGGGTCTCATTAAGCTGCTTAGGCCTCACTAAATTGCTGAGACTGGCCTTGAATTTGCAGTCCTCCTGCCTTAGCCTTCTGATAACTGGGATTACCGGCATGTACTACTATGTAAAACTATTTTCTAAATGCAGAGGAATGAAATTCTGAGATGAAATTCAATCAGTTGCAAGATAGTCTTAAAGATATTTTTAGGTTTTGGAGGGAATTCTGATTTCAGATTAAACTACCTATTATTTATGAAAGATGACATTAGAATACTCCTTTCTTTCATCAAATGCTCTACCTTGAGAGCTTCTTAATGAATGGGATGTTTCCATATGGTATTTTCCACAAATGTGTCAAAGGGTGCAAACTTCGTAGGTCATTTTGTACCTTCTTTTAGGGAAAAAAGTGTGCAAGACTTTTTTTTTTTTTTTAAGGCCTTCTTCAAACTTTATTTTTTTAAAAGTAAGATTCTGATTTAGTGTCTCATTTAAAAAATATTATATTTGAGAAGTTGTATTTAAGTGCCTTGCATTTCAGAGCAGTCATTTCTTTTTATCCTCTAGGCACATGTTTAAAGCAAAAGTCCATGTTTCTTTCCAATGAAAGTATGATGATCCTCCACAGGATAAATAAGTAGCTTCTTGATTCACAAAACACATTTTGCTTTCTATTTCTAAGGAATTAGAGGAAATATTATCATATTTTATTGACTTTAAGACACGATTACCTATAAGATGAACTATTATTTTGTATATTACTAAGAAAGAAAAAGTTGCTGCCATTTAGAATTGTAAAATGCTATGGGCTGCAAGAGTTGTGAAAGGGTGGAGGATGAGAGTTCACCTTTGAGTCAATGAAACATGAAATTTGAGGGCTGGGAGCTGAGTTCTGGTGTTGGCTGTGTTTCTAATTAGCTGTGGGTCTACAGACCAGTTACTTAGACTCTCTTTGTCTCAGGTTCCTCACCTGCATGTTGAAAGTCATGGCTGACACACCTTCCTCATAGGGTTATGATGAAGATGAAATGAGATAAATGATGTAATTATTTTGAAAAGTTTTAGACTTTACTGGGAAAAATTCAAAGTATTTCTGTGATTTAAATTAACCCTTAGACACTATTAGGCAACTCAGTTTTTCTTATCTGACTTTTGTTGTCAGGTTTAAAATAGAATTTAGTTATAGACATTTGAAAGAATATTTTCTTCTGGTAAGTGATTTTCATTCAACTTAGAAGTAATCTTTTTTATTGTAGTTTTGATATTAAAGGGAAAATACGAAGATAATATAACAATAATATTCTTTATCATCCAGAATTATTAACTCTTAAATCTATTAGTGCTGTGATCTTTTTTAAAATATTTTTTTAGTTGTAGTTGGACACAATACCTTTATTTTTACTTTTATTTGGTGCTGAGGGTTTAACCCATGCCTTGCACGTGCTAGGCAAGTGTTCTACTGCTGAGCTACCACTTCAGCCCCAGTGCTGTGATCTTTTAAATAAATACATAATATGAATATATTACATAAAAGGTAAAAAAATAATAATGAACTTTTATACACTTGCCATTGCCAGTACAAGTGAAAGTCACTATGTGGAAACAGTATCTTTAATTTAGATTAGCATCCTGTTTTCACAATGTCTAATAAGGTAGGGCACTGTTTATCTTGTTTCAGTCTTTAAAAGCTATAAACAGCATGTTTATTTTATCATATGAGTGTTACATTTTGGAATAAAGCAGAATGGGCTATTTTTTTACTGGGTTTCTTCAAAATTCTACTTATGGATTTGGAGATCCAGCTATGGAAGTTGGAAATACGACATTTGTCAAATAATGGTAATGGCTAACTTTTTATTTGCCAGACATTATGCCTAGACAATTTTTGCTATTTTCCAAAAGTTTTATGGTAATTCTAGTTAGCTGATTTTTATTTTGTAGATTAGGAAGGTTGTGGTGCAGAAGTTGAGTAGTTTGTAGAAAGTTCATTGGCTATTTAGTTGCATGCTAATGATTTTAAGCCCATAGGTTTTGCCTCATGCCACCTCAGTTCTTGTCAGTAATCACAATCTGTTTCTTTTATAGGCAAAACCCAGAGACCACATTTGAAGTGTATGTGGAAGTAGCCTATCCTCGGACAGGTGGCACTCTTTCAGGTACTTTGCATGTTCAATTATCATATGATGTGTTTCATTATTGTATGAGATAGCCATGCACATGGAACAATATGTGAATAAACTGTTATTTGTCTTTAAGTCTATGTAAGTGCCTTTCCCTTTTTTCTCATGCCCACATTATCCTAGGAAGAATGGAGAATAAAAGCACAGTGAATATGCTGAATTGGAGTCACTGAGATAGCAGGCTTAAAGTATGGCATTATTCATTGTAATGATTGAATCTTCATTTGCATCTGTCACAGTTGCCTGGAAGTCAACTATTTAATGTGAAATGTTGTCACCTTGCTAATGAGCAAGGCTTAGAATTAGATTATGGGGTACAATATAATAGAGAATTCTCTGCCATTAAACTGAAAGGAGATGCGCAAAGTGAACTTAGTTTAGCAAATGCTGATGGTAAAAAAGAAGTTTGGAGACTATTTGAAGGAAACACCTTCTCTGTTTTAGCTTTTGGTCTAATTTGGATATGTATCCTGGACAATAGGGTCTTATATAAGTTTAGGGAATCTTGAACAGGCTGTGTATATCTCTTCTTGATCTAAAATTTTTTTGGTTAGTGAGAAAAGTAACCTTACGATCTAGTGTTCTTTTTCTTGATTCCTGAGAGAGAGACGCATTTTGACAAATGTTAGGGGCTTTGGGTTCATACACACAAACACTCTCATTTATTATTTGGTGCTTAGGGAGAATGAATTTACCATAGATTGGAAATTTGCAGTAATCAGGATTCTAATGGTAGTTATATCCTTAATTGGCTTTACAACTTTGGGCATATTTTCTATTTTGTTATTTTAATTAGATTGTAATAATAAACTTAGCTGTCTTTAATTGAGTCCCTGTTGTTTTGCTTTACTTGCTTGATATCTGTATTGTTAACCTTACACTACAACCTTTAATGTTAGTTGAGTGACATTCTCATCATTACTGTGAGAAAATAGAATCTCAGGTAAAATAACTTACTGAGTTTGTGTAACTACTATGTGGAATAGCCAAGATTTTTGTTTCAAGTTCTCTTTGCTCTGCTAAGTTACCTCTTGGGGTCAGCGAATATAGCATATGTGTCTATTCCTGTTACTTGCAGTGATATTAATATTAAAATGAAAGAATTTTCTTTCATAGAAAATTTGAAAAACTATATTCTGTCTCCTGGGTTATTTTAGGAAGGCTGTGAAGCATATTACAAATTTCTGATTCTCAGAAGGTAAAACATCCCTATTGTGTCTTATTGTTCATTGGGTTTAGAAGGGATGTACTGTGTTATCAGGTAAGTGTTCACATGCAACAACTCCTGCATGAGCTAACTTCACAGAGTAGTTATTCCATGATGGCTATGATTTGACAGATAAATTCAAAGATAAAAGGTTTTATTTCTACAGTTGCTAATGTTTTCTTCTTTCAATATTCTAGGATTTCCCTGTGAAAATTCAAATTAGTTTTTTAATTATTATTTTTAATTTTTTAAATTGATTTTATCTTTTTAAATACACAACAGTGGAATGCATTACAATTCTTATTACACATATAGAGCACAATTTTTCATATCTTTGTATATAAAGTATGTTCATGCCAATTCATGCCTTTATACATGTACTTTTTTTTTGCATTACAATTCTTATTACACACATAAACCACAATTTTTCATATCTCTGTTTGCATATGAAGTAAAAATTAATTTTTTAAAAATATTCTTTTAGTTATAGATGGACACAATACCTTTATTTTATTTATTTATTTTTATGTGATTCTGAGGATTCAACCCAGTGCCCCACATGTGCCAGGCAAGAAAGTGTGCTATCACTGAGCCACGACTTTTTTGGATATAAACAAATTTTGAAAGGTACAAATGAGATGAAAGAATGAATAAAACAAAGTCTTTACCCTACCCCCTTATCCTAGCCATCTAATTTCTCCTTTTTTTTTTTTTTTATATGCAACTCTTTTCTGGGTTAAACTTTAGGATTTTAACAATGTATTTTGAAAGAAAAACTTAAAAGAATAGTTCATGGGTCGGGGGTTAGCTCAGTGGTAGAGCACCTGCCTCACATGTGCAAGGCCTTGAATTTGATCCCCAGCATCACAAACAACAAATCAAAACAGAAAAAGTATGAAGTAAGTGGCCATGTTACCACTATCTGGGTTAGAAGTTACAATGTTGCATGGTTCTGTGGAGATACCTATCCTGACAGGAGGGACCCTTGACCTGGCCCTGTTGTTTAGGAGGCCATTGCTTTAGGGGGCCCTAGTTGGGCACTTATCTTCTGATACAAGGAGTGCCTGATCCTCTGTATGGGACTTGCTCAATTGGAGCCTGAACCCTTTCATCCTGGACCCTGCTTTGAGTATCTAGGATTTCAGAATTTCTTGCCCGAATGGTTCGGAGCTGACTTTCAGAACCTGTACAAGTCTCTCCTCTGGGGTCTATCCCCCTGAGGATGGACTGAGCTGCTGGTATATTTACTCCAAGGCCTAATGGTTGCTGTTGGTGGGGAGTAGAATATGGGGCAAACCTTTAGATTTGTCAGTGGGGGGGATTGCACTTGTGTGCAAAGTCCCTTCTGCGGTGGATACAGAAGGGGGCAATGGCAGTGAGCTGTGGCATGCTCCTGGCACCACCACATTTCTTTGTGGAACCCTAGGGAATACACAAATGCTGACTGTGGCCTTAAGTTATTAATGTATATTTATCATGATAGGGTAGAACTTATTTAATAGTTTGTAAGCTTGTGTAACTTTTAAATTATTAGACATGTGGTCTGTGGGTCTCCCTTTGTACCCTTTCTAGGACTTATAAATGTTAGAGGTGGGCTTGGCCAGCACCCTAGATGTTCCTCACTCCCCTTCTCAGAGGTTACCACTATCTGGACTTTTCTGGTAACCATTCCTTTGTTTTTCTTTCTTTCTTTTTTTTTTTAATATTTATTATTTTTTAGTTGTAGTTGGACACAATACCTTTATTTCACTTATTTATTTTTATGTGGTGCTGAGGATCGAACCCAGGGTCTCGAACATGTGAAGCGAGCACTCTACCGCTGAGCTACAACCCCAATCCTCTTTTGTTTTTCTTAATAGTTTCATTATATCAGTTTACCTCCTTAAAAAGTATAATCAAACCTATTTCTGAATTTTATAGAAAAAAAATTCCTCAGTATATAGTTTTGCTGCTGTTTTTACTTGATTATGTTTGTAAGGGTCCTCTCTGTTGTATGTAACAGCATTCATTTATTTTTTCATCAGTATGTAAATACAGTATAAAATTATATCATAAATTATTCATTATATTGTTGGGAACATGGCTATTCCAAGCAATGGCTGCTGTGATCTTTCTTACACATAAATTCTGGCGCATGTAAGCAGGCATTTCTGTAGAATATATAATACTTGATTACTGGATCATGCTAAACTGATATTCAAAACTGATTGTGCTAGTCTATACTCCTGTCTTCAGTGCTTAATAATTCTTATTGCTCTACCACTTTGTCAGCCCTTGGTATGGTTCAATTTGATTTTTGCTAACTTGATGGTTGTATAATAGTATCTCCCTGTTGTTTTTATTCATATTTTCCTGATGACTAAAGAGATTGAGTACCTTTTCATATGCTTATTATAAGATATCTTGGATATCTGATATCTTGGATATCTGATACCTTCTTTTTTTTTTTTTTTTTGTGGTGCTGGGATTTGAACCTAGGGCTTTGTGCATGAAAGGCAAGCACTCTACCAACTGAGCTATATCCCCAGCCCTCTATCTTCTTTTATAAAGTGACCTGTTCAAGTTTCTTCTTAAAACTTTATTTTTTTTTTACTTTTTTTCCTCTTTGATTTATAAGAAATTGCATAATATGGATATTAATTATATAATTATGTGTTACAGATATCCTCTTCCAGTCTACGGTTTGTTTTTACTGTTTTTAGAATATTTGATCAAAATATTTTGGTTTTCATATAGTACAATTAATATTTTCCCTGTGCTCCCAATATAAAGATATTTTCTTCTAAGAGATTTAAAGTTTTGTCTTTCACATTTAGGTCTTACCAAGGATTTTAGTTTTCTGTTATGTGATTAATATCTGGAAAAGTTAAACTCTAAATTTCTTTCCTCATCCATGATTTGTAAAAATTGGGAAATTAAATAAACCCTAATTACTAAGGTATGCTATGCTTCTACTTAAAATATAGTTTACAGAGTAATCAAGTACATCAAATCACACCTACAAAATTATCTAAAATTAAAAAGATGACATGTGAGAAAGGCTGGTGAAAAATATTACTAAACTTTAAAGATAGCTATTTTTTTCATTGATTATTTTTAATGTGTACACTAGTGAAAACATGAAACTGTCCCGCACAGGTTCTGTTTTATGATAAACGTCTCATGACTCCCATGGAAGAGACATGTGATCTGTCTTCGAAATTATAGGAAGATCCCCTAACACTGAAGGGAACACTTTCCAAAGATTGTATGAATAAAATTTGGCTATATAGACAAACTTATGATACTGCTTGTTTTCTTTGGAAATTGTAAAATTTCCTAGTTGCTATTACCACTGACTAAGCTGTCACTGAATATTTGATTTTTAGACACCTTTGTCTACTTTTATAACCTTCTTGTGTTTACTTTTTTTTTTTTTTTAATTACCGGGAATTGAACCCAGGGGTGCTATACTGCTGAGCTACATCCCCAGTCCTTTTTGATTTTGACATAGGCTCTTGCTTAGTTGATAAGGCTGGCCTTGAACTTGGAATCCTCCTGCCTCAGCCTCCTGAGTCACTGGGATTACAAGCATGCACCACCAAGACTGTTATGTTTGCCTTTTTCCTATATTATTTAATGTATTATTTTTGCCATTTTAGATGATTGTGAAGAATCTGCCTTTATATTGGTCTTTGTTTCTAGAATCTGAATCTCTGATGTGTACCAAAGTATCTGAGCAAACTTAGATATAAACCTTACCTTTTACAGTACTACTGTCTGGGCATAA